AATACTTAATTACACACATTTGAGTAGATGTAATAAATTACTTTAATTCCTGTTTAAATGCAATTCATCCTGCCATACCTGCAGTATCTTCAGACTTTGCCAACAAATTAAAAGTTGAAGCTTAATCATTAAATTATTATCTTTGTGTTAGATTTATTTATAAATCACATTTAAACACTGCATGTACCAATTAAATTAAATAAAAAATAACACACACGTTCTCTGTCACTGTCATTAATCAGATAAACAAACAAACAGCAGCTTCATCTACCAGACAGACTGACGTTACGTTTTCTCTCTTGGAAACAGAACAATGTGTTAAATTGTAGAGACTCACCTGCAACACGAGTTGGGAGTGAGACATGTTGTATCAGCTGCAGCTCGTGACTCCGACATGTTTACGTTTATCTCCGTGGTTCTCCCGTGTTGTGTCGGTGATTTTCAAAGCAGCATGCTTCTCATTTTTTATCTTTGTGAAGAGCTCCCCCACTTTGGAGGACTTGGGTCGAACAGTTTTCGCTGCGTTGGTCATTTGTAAAATTTACTTAGGTTGTTTTCACACCAGATAGTCCGGTAGACTCGGTTCGGTTCTGGACCAATATTCATGAGCTTTTGTTACATTTGAGCTGGTGCGTTTGCATTCACACTGCACTGTGCAGTCGAGTCAACCTGTTGAACCAACCTGTTCCCCCGCTCGCCTGTGGGGGCGCTGCACCAAGAACTACTGAAAGAAACGACACAAAAACCTCTGAAGACACTTCTTCTTCTTCTTCTTCTTCTTGTAAATAAAAATAAAAACGAAGTGGCATCAAGTTTTAGCAGTTTTAGGAGTTATGTTTTGTCATCTTTCAAAAATGGACTCAGCATGAGCAGAAGATGAGACAGAAGACCATGGAGAATATTGTTTTTCACACAAGGCAGCTGACGGCTCCATATGAGGTCAGAGAAATGCGTGTTTGTTTGTCCTGCGGAGCGGGGCTCGGTCTGTTTACATTCACACTGCACTCGAACCGCGCTGGAGTTCTCTTCTACCGGACCGAGACCTAGGTTTTAACCTGGGCCACAGATTACCTTTTTGTTCCGTGACAGAGTTCGATGGTGCGTTCACACCTCCCCAAACGAACCGGACTTTCTAGGAAAACGAGCTAGAGTTCGATTAAAGCGGACTAAACAGGGCTGGTGTGAATGCACCCTTAATTTCCTATGAAAACATAGCCTCTGCTCCACCTCGCCCCTCGCTCTGTTCAACTCGCACTGCAAAGTTTTTTTTTTCAAACTTTATTCAGTCAGTCAGCATTGACAATGAACTGCTCGTAAACAAAACGGCTCTGCAGCGTTGTGAAAGACGCATAATCGCGCGACACAACGAATCGATAATGAAATTCATTGCCAACGCTTTTAATCATCGATTTTTATCGATTTTATCGATTCGTTGTTGCAGCCGTAGTCTGTACATTAATACTGCCTGCATGTGGTTTTCATACATAAAAGCTAACAGGACAAGTCTGTAATGATGTCCCTGTCAGAGATGATGGAATCTGTGGCTCTTCAGTATTAGCTGTCACACATCAGTCTAACAATGTTACATAAACTTTGCAACACATCTAGCTGTTGTTTGTTTGCCTTTATTCTAAAGGAGCGCCTAAACAAATAACTTAGAGTGAGAGAAAACCTGAGTGTGCAAAAGTATTAATCTCACCAAAGACAGTACTTTATGTTGCCGCCTTTTGCACCAATGACAGCATTGAGTCTTTTCAGGTTGGTCTTCATGAGCTTGGTTCGTCTAGCCACAGAGATTTTCTGTCAGTGAGGTGGCAAGTTTCTGCCAGCCAGATTCAAATATAATAATTTGATATATATTAATGTACTCGTACAGACTGTTCTGTTCAATGTGGTTTTCTGGATTTTTTTTCTTAGATTCTGTCTCTCACAGTTGAAGTGTACCTATGATAAAATTACAGACCTTTCCATTCTTTGTAGGTGGGAAAAGTTGCAAAATCAGCAGTGTTTTTAAAAAAAAAATTTTTTTTTATTGAAGCGTCATTTGTACAAGTTAATCCCACTGAGCCTCGGGGACTCATTTACAAGAGAGACTGATTTTAACAAAGAGTGATGACAACAGTAGAACAAAAAAGACAACAATTGATGATCATAAAAGGATGCGTACAAGTTGAGAATAACAATTGAAAATAAAGTTTTTTTTTAAACGTAACAAACAGCTAGGTTCTAAGGCGTACAAATCTAAAAACAAGAACATGTCTACATTGATTTTTCCCAATAACTTAGTATCGTCATTTACCTCCACACACACATTCATGCAGCTCTCTACTAGAGCTCTACAAAGATGATCTGAATCAGTAGAGACTAATCTGAGCTTTAGATCACATTCATACACCAATGGGACACACATCAGAGGCAATAAGGGAACACTTCAACACGTGAATGCTGGTGGAATCGAACCCTAACTCTCCTATTGGACGACTGCTCTAACCACTTAGCCACAGCTGCCCCCACAAAGAAGTTAGCAGAAGCAACAAGCTGTTCTGCTGTTAACATTTACAAAGCTCTGAAAATAACAGCTGCATTTCTCCAACTTATCCACCTTAATCCTAGCCCCCATGATGCCTTGCGTGAATTATGGGCGTGACCTCCGGTGCGGACCAGAACCAGTGTTTGCTTATATGCAAACAGTATGAACAAATAATTAAAAAAAGGTTTATAGGCTCAATTATCCAGGTAGATAAAACAAATCTATGAGCTATGAGTATGAGCTAATGTAGTTTCTCTGAGCATTATGGATTTAATTTAAAAATGTAGGAACACCACCTGTCAGAGCTCCAACAGGACAGTAATAATCATACTGCTGCCTGCTGAGGACCAGGGATGGAGGACGAGCTGAAGAAGTGGCTGCAGATTACATCTACTAGCATATTTAGCTACATCTACTAGCATATTTAGGTACTTCACTGACTCAGTTCCTCAGATGGTGAAGTGATGAACAACCTGAAAAGCTCTGAGGTTTATTAGTATCTACACAGTAATAAGGTTGGTGTGTTTTGTTAAAAGAGGTGAGACACAATCTTAAATCTTGACCTTAAAGCAGACATAGAGCCCAGCCAAAGCCTTGAAAGTCCTCCATCACCAAGCTTGTGTGATTTTACTGCGAGACCCTCTGGTCAAAGCCACAGACTCACTTTGTGTCAGCTCTCCATTAAAGCTGAAGGAGGCGCCAACTAGAGGGCTGGAGGGTGAAGTGTTTCAGTGTAAAATGCTGCTCTGTTGCTGTTCATTTATAAAGTGAGAAGACTGGAAACTGTTAAGAGTTAACAACATATTTTTTTGTTTAAAACATAAGGCTAAAACTACATTTGATATCTTTTGCACTGTTTTGCACTACAAGAAAGAAGCCTAATACTTGATTTGTTTATTATTTAAAAACTCTCTGGACCTAGTAGTGGAATTTTCTTAATTCAAAATATATGATGGCAAAAGGACACCCTATGCTTTTTTTTAGCAAGTTTTATACCAAAAACATATCGCAATATATATCGTTATTGCCACCCTTCACAATACATATCGTGATATGAATTTTATGCCATATCGCACATTCCTACAGAGCACTTTGCTCTCAGGCTGCAGGTTTACTTGTGGTTCCTAGAATTTACAAAAACAGAATGGGAGGCAGAGCTTTCAGTTATCAGTTGGTGAAACCAACTTCCAATCTCTGTCCGTGAGGCTGACACATTATCCAGTTTTAAGACTAGGCTTAAGACTTTTTTTTTTGCTAAATCCTATAGTTAGGGTCAGCTTGGGTTTCCTGAGCTGTCCCTTAGTTATGCTGCTATAGGCTTAGACTGCTGGAGGACAAACTGACCACACTTTTTCACTCTGCTACTGTCTTTACTTACTCTGCTCAACCTGTTTTGTATTTGTAATTATTTTTTCTAGCCTTAACATGTGTTTTTTTTTGTTTGTTTTTTGGCCTTTCAGGTACACCTAGACCTACCATTCTGTGTTCATTTGTCTCTCCTATCTGTCCTCTCAAACCAGCCGGTCAAAGCAGATGACCGCTTGTCCTGAGCCTGGTTCTGCTGGAGGTTTCTTCCTTTTATAAGGGAGGCTTTCCTTTCCACTGTTGTCATTGTGGGCAGCACGGTGGCACAACTGTTAGAGCTGCTGCCTCTCAGCAAGCAGGTCCCCGGTTCAAATCCCAGTCCGGGGGCCTTTCTGGGTGGAGTTTGCATGTTCTTTCCGTGCATGCGTGGGTTTTCTCCGGGTACTCCGGTTTCCTCCCACAGACCAAAAACATGCATGTTAGGCTGATTGGTAACTCTGAATTGTCCCTAGGTGAGAGTGGGAGAATGAATGGTTGTTTGGCTCTATGTGGCCTTGTGATGGACTTGCGACCCATCCAGGGTGTACCCCGCCCCTCGCACAGTGATTGCCGGACATGGGCACTGGCGACCCCCGTGATCCATAATGGAAGAAGCGGGTAAAAGATAATGGATGGATTGATGGATGGATATTGTCTTTGTGCTTGCTCAGGATAGGAGACTGCAACGAAGCCAAGATTCAACTTGTCTCCTGGATTCCTTAGATAGAGAACTTTACTAATTGGCTTCTCTATGTATGTGAATGTTCCTGTTAAGTCCCCTGAGACAACTTTGTTGTGATTCGGCGCTCTATAAATAAACTGAATTGAATTGAATGGTTTTTTTTTTTTTCTAATTGAATCAGTGCCACAAAGAATTAGAGTAATTATGAATTCCAAAGTGGGTCCCACTCATTACTAGTAAGGTGTCAAAGGGCCAGTGATTGTGCAGTAAATAATAAAATAGTTACAGAATTATTGCTCAAATATTCCCAGTAAAGTAACTTAACGTTTCTAAATCTGTCTTCTGTTGCCACAGTGCTATTTTTGATTATTTACTTAAACACAGAAAACCAAAGTTATTTAGTCCAATTTTGTAAACATTTTCTTATTTTGTGTCTTTCTGCAGACCTGGCTGACCTTCCTCTGGTGAAGTTCGATTTGTCCTGTAACAAGGTGTCCACCATCCCGGTGTGCTACAGGAAAATGAAGCAGCTCCAATCCCTGCAGTTAGAGAACAATCCATTGCAGAGTCCACCTGCACAGGTACCTGCAAATATTTATTCAATCATTATTTCACAAGCCTTGATTTCACTTTTCCAAATGTTCATAATTGTATGTTAGTGATGTCAGACATTTGGAAACATAAAACTTTAAAAAGCATTCGCCCATACAAGAGGTTTTCCACAGCATTGCATATAACAATAATAATAACAATAATAATAATAATAATAATGTCACAGTATGTTTCCATACAATGGCAAAATTAGTCACTGCATTTAACCCATCCACCACCAGGTGGTGCAGTGGGCAGCTATTGAAAGCGCCCGGGGGGGGCGCATTTTGGGGATATACAGTATCATTAATCTCGGGTTTTAAGACGCACCTGTCTCTAAGCCACACTTATTAAATATAAGATGAATCATAATTTTGTACATAAATAAGGCGCTCCGGTTATTTAGCCACGGGCATCCACCATTCCTTGTCAGGCTTGTTGACCAGGTCTCTGCCCATGGGGCCTGGTCGGGCTCAGCCCAATGGAGCAGCATGGGTTTGCCTCCCTTCGAACCCACCACCTGTAGGAAGGGCCATAAAAGTCGGGTGCATGATGCTATGGGCAGTGGCCGAAGGTGGGGACCTTGGCGCTCTGACCCTGGCTTACCAAAACTATCTCTTTGGACATGGAATGTAACCTCTCTGGCAGGGAAGGAGCCTGAGCTTGTGCGCGAGGTTGAGAGGTACCGACTAGATATATTTGGGCTCACCTCAACGCACAGCATGGCTCTGGAACTGATCTCCTTGAGAGGGGTTGGACCTTATTCCACTCTGGAGTTGTCCATGGTGAGAGGCGGCGATCTGGTGTGGGTCTACTTGTAGCCCCCCGACTTGGTGCCTGTGTGTTGATGTTTTCCCCGGTAGATGAGAGGGTGGCTTCGCTTTGCCTTCGGGTGGGGGGGACGGGCTCTGACTGTTGTTTGTGCCTACGCGCCGAACTACAGTTCAGAGTATCCGGCCTTCTTGGAGTCCTTGGCAGGGGGTGCTGGAAGGGGTGCTGGAAGGGGTGCTGGAAGGTGCGCCAGCTGCGGACTCCTTTATTCTGCTGGGGGACTTCGATGCCCATGTGAGTAATGACAGTGTGACCTAGAGGGGCGTGATTGGGAGGAACGGCCTCTCTGATCTGAACCCAAGCGAAGGTTTGTCCATCATGAACACCATGTTCCAAAATAAGGGTGTCCATAAATGCACTTGGCACCAGGATGCCCTAGGTTGTAGATCAATGATTGACTTCATAGTTGTGTCATCTGATTTGTGGCCATTTGTTTTGGACACTCGGGTAAAGAGAGGAGCTGAGCTGTCAACTGATCACCACCTGGTAGTGATTTGGATCAGATGGCGGGGGAAGATGCCGGACAGACCCGGTAGACCTAAACGTGTAGTGAGGGTTTGCTGGCTACACCTGGAAGAAGAACCCGTCAGAGAGATCTTCAACTCACACCTCCGGGAGAGCTTTAACTGCATCCCAGCTGAGTTGGGGGACATTGAGTCTGAGAGGGCCATGTTCCACGCCTTGCTTGTTGAGGTAGCTGCCTTAAGCTGTGGCCGCAAGGTTGTTGGTGCTTCTTGTGGTGGTCATCCACAAACTCTGTGGTGGAGGCTGTCAAGCTGAAGGAGTCCTATCGGGCCTTGTTGGCCATTGGGACTCTGAAGGCAGCTGAGGAGTACCAGAGGGTCAAGTGGTGTGCAGCCTTAGCTGTTGCTGAGGCAAAAGCTCAGATGTGGGAGGAGTTCGGTGAGACCTTGGATAGAGACTCTCGGTCGGCTCCGAGGAGATTCTAGCAAACCATCAGGCGGCTGAGAAGGGGAAAGCAACACTTTACTAACACTGTGTTCAGTTCATGCATTCAACCTTTATTTAGACAGGTAAATCCCATTGAGCTTCAATGACTCATTTATAAGAAAGACCTGAAAGTGAAGTGAAGGTGAAGGTGGAGTTCTGTTGTCCTCAACCAGTTATTCGTCAGGAGGTGGAAGGAATACTTCTCGGACCTTCTCAATCCCACCAGCACGTCTTCCATGGAAGAAGCTGAGTCGAGGGACTTTGGGGTTGATCCATCCATAACCGTGGCTGAGGTCACCGAGGTAGTTTAAAAGCTCAGAAGCGGCAGGGCTCCAGGAGTGGATGAGATTCACCCTGATTTCCTTAAGGCTCTGGATGTTGTGGGGCTGTCTTGGCTGACACGCCTTTGCAACTTCGCATGGACATCGGGGGCAGTGCCACTGGATTGGCAGATTGGGGTGGTGGTTCCCCTCGTCAAAAAGGGGGACCGGAGGGTGTGCTCCAATTATAGGGGCATCACTCTCCCTAGGCTCTTTGGTAAGGTCTATTCAGGGGTACTGGAGAAGCAATTCCGATCATTGGACGAACCTCAGATCCAGGAAGAACAGTGTGGGTTCCGTCCTGGCCATGGAACACTGGATCAGCTCTTTACCCTCACTAGGATCCTTGAGGGGTCATGGGAGTTTGCCCATCCAGTCTATATGTGTTTTGTGGACTTGGATAAGGCATTCAACCCTGTTCCTCAGGATACATTGTGGGGGGTGCTCCTTGAGTATGGGATTGGAGGCCCGTTGTTACGGGCTGTTCAGTCCCTATACAAGCGGTGCGAGAGTTTGGTTTGCATTGCCGGCAGTAAGTCGGACACCTTCAGGGTGGGAGTTGGACTCTGCCATGGCTGCCTGTTGTCACCGATTCGGTTCATAACTTCCATGGACAGAATTTCTCGGTGCAGCCAGCTGGCGGAGGGTTTCCGGTTTGGTGGCCTCAGGATTCCATCTCTGCTCTTTGCAGATGATGTGGTCCTGTTGGCGTCATCGTGCCGTGATCTTCAGCTCTCACTAGAGCGGTTCGCAGCCGAGTGTGAAGCGACTTGGATGAGAATCAGCTCCTCCAAATCTGAGGCCATGGTCCTCAACCGGAAAAGGATGGATTGCTCTCTTCAGGTCAAGGGTGAGGTTCTGCCTCAAGTGGAGGAGTTCAAGTATCTTGGGGTTTTGTCCACGAGTGAGGGAAGAATGGAGCGTGAGATTGACAGACGGATTAGTGCAGCATCTGCAGTATTGCGGATTCTGTACCGGTCCGTTGTAGTGCAGAGAGAGCTGTGCTGTAAGGCAAATCTCTCTGTTTATAGGAGATAAAGATATAGGTCGGTCTATGTTCCTACCCTCACCTATGGTCATGAGCTCTGGGTAGTGACCGAAAGAATGAGATTGCGGATACAGGTGGTTGAAATGATTTTTCTCCACAGGGTAGCTGGACTCTCCCTTAGAGATAGGGTGAGATGTTAAGGTATTCACGAAAGATTCGGAGTAGAACCGCTACTTCTCCATGTTGAGAGGAGCCAGTTGAGGTGGTTCTGGCATCTGGTAAGGATGCCCCCTGGGCATTTCCCTAGAGAGGTGCTTCAGGCATCTCCAACTGGGAGGAGACCCCGGGAAAGACCCAGGACACGATGGAGAGGCTTTGTCTCTCAGTTGGCCTGGAAACGCCTTGGAATCCTCCCAGAAAAGCTGGAAGAGGTGGCTGTGGAAAGAGATGTCTTGGCCTGTCAGCTCAATCTACTGCCCTCGCGACCCGACTTCGGAATAAGCAGAAGATAATGGATGTATGGATGGAGGCAGGTCTTATTAGTCTGGGTTCATGAGACTTGCCTCCATTCAGGAGATCCATTCTATAGCTAGAAGCCAACGTGCAGAACAGCTGACAGGGAATCACACGTGGAGACGTTTTACTTGGAGACAGACATGCTTCATGGATCAAAAATCTCTGCAGGTTGGAGCAGAAAAATCCAATGCATATATGATGCTGGTATCGGAGCCCGATACCGATACTGGATCGGATCGACCCCATCCCTAGTTCGGATGTGACTTTCAAATGAGATCCCGGTATTCAAATGCATATGTACTGTACACAAAAAGATGTCACACAGAAAGAATTTTAAATTTTTTATTAAAACATGTACTAGACTTGACTGCTTTTACGTCTCCAGTACCCAACCATCAACATGTTGATGCAAAGCTTACGGGCTCTGTTTCCTCCTCGACAGCTGATCAATCGCTTTTAACATGATGGCTGCATCATAAGAAATTATCTTTGCATTTTCCATTATCACTGAACAAATGAACAGGTCTGTGCATAAAGCGCAAAATCCGGTAACAACACAGGAACGATTTAAAGAATTTCATTCACGTGTTTCTTGGGGTATGGTCCTTGAGAGTACCTCATTGGTCATTCGTGCTAGACTTCTGATCACGTGATGACAGAGTGGGTGGAGTTATGGATGTGTATTTGAAACCGTGAGCAAAAGGCCTTGCACATCTGATTGCCTGAGAGCATTCTCTTTGCGTCACAATTATATTTGAAATCTCTGAAATATATTGAAACACATGAAGACCTGTATGAAATGTTAATGGAATTACCCACTGATGCATGTTAATCCTAATCCTAAAACATATTCCCCCTTGTTGTAGTTTATTTTATTTATTTAATTTTTTCTTTATTTCCTTCTTCTTTATTTTTTCACATCGAAGTCTGCCTCTGCTGTGCCCTTTTTAGAGTTACACTATTGTGAATTGCCATATTTGTTTGTACTTGTTTTTGCTAAATAAAGTTTTCTTAAAAATATATATACAGGTCCTTCTCAAAAAATTAGCATACTGTGATAAAGGTCATTATTTTCCATAATGTAATGATAAAAATGAAACTTTCATATATTTCAGATTCATTGCACACCAACTGAAATATTTCAGGTCTTTAATTGTTTTAATACTGATGATTATGGCGTACAGCTCATGAAAACCCAAAATGCCTGTCCCAAAAAATTAGCATATTTCATCCCACCAATGAAAGACAAGTGTTTTTAATACAAAAAACACCAACCTTCAAATAATCATGTTCAGTTATGCACTCAATACTTGGTCGGGAATCCTTTTGCATGAATGACTGCTTCAATGCGGCGTGGCATGGAGGCAATCAGCCTGTGGCACTGCTGAGGTGTTATGGAGGCCCAGGATGCTTCGATAGCGGCCTTAAGCTCATCCAGAGTGTTGGGTCTTGCGTCTCTCAACTTTCTCTTCACAATATCCCACAGGTTCTCTATGGGGTTCAGGCCAGGAGAGTTGGCAGGACAATTGAGCACAGTAATACCATGGTCAGTAAACCATTTACCAGTGGTTTTGGCACTGTGAGCAGGTGCCAGGTCGTGCTGAAAAATGAAATCTTCATCTCCATAAAGCTTTTCAGCAGATGGAAGCATGAAGTGCTCCAAAATCTCCTGATAGCTAGCTGCATTGACCCTGCCCTTGATAAAACACAGTGGACCAACACCAGCAGCTGACATGGCACCCCAGTGACTGTGGAAACTTGACACTGGACCTCAAGCAATGTGAATTCTGTGTCTCCTCTCTTCCTCCAGACTCTGGGACCTTGATTTCCAAAGGAAATGCAACATTTACTGTAATCAGAGAACATAACTTTGGACCACTCAGCAGCAGTCCCAGGCAAGATGCTTCTGACGCAGAAGAGTGGCTTGACCTGGGGAATGCGGCACCTGTAGCCCATTTCCTGCACACGCCTGTGCACGGTGGCTCTGGATGTTTCTACTCCAGACTCAGTCCACTGCTTCCGCAGGTCCCCCAAGGTCTGGAATCGGCCCTTCTCCACAATCCTCCTCAGGGTCCGGTCACCTCTTCTCGTTGTGCAGCGTTTTCTGCCACACTTTTCCCTTCCCACAGACTTCCCAATGAGGTGCCTTGATACAGCACTCTGGGAACAGCCTATTCGTTCAGCAGTTTCTTTCTGTGTCTTACCCTCTTGCTTGAGGGTGTCAATGATGGCCTTCTGGACAGCAGTCAGGTCGGCAGTCTTACTCATGATTGCGGTTTTGAGTAATGAACAAGGCTGGGAGTTTTTAAAAGCCTCAGGAATCTTTTGCAGGTGTTTAGAGTTACGTCATTGATTCAGATGGTTAGGTTAATAGCTTGTTTAGAGAACCTTTTCATGATGTGCTAATTTTTTGGGACAGGCATTTTGGGTTTTCATGAGCTGTATGCCATAATCATCAGTATTAAAACAAATAAAGACCTGAAATATTTCAGTTGGTGTGCAATGAATCTGAAATATATGAAAGTTTCATTTTTATCATTACATTATGGAAAATAATGACCTTTATCACAATATGCTAATTTTTTGAGAAGGACCTGTATGACCCAAGTTACTGTAAATTCTGTACTGGCAGCATGTTTTGTGATGTTATCTGCAGTGGGTTTTGGTCACAGTTTAATGATTTGTGACACATTAGCAAAGAAAAATAAGTTCAATGAGTCCACAGTCCGAGGAAAATGGTTGAGATTGAAAATTAATCTAAGATGAACTTTGACTTTAGTCTATTTTTTTTTCCCTGTCATTTCAGATCTGCCTAAGGGGAAAAGTTCATATATTTAAGTATTTAAGCATTGAGGCATGTCGCAGTGAGAAGATGCCAGACTCTCTTTACTTGCCGGTTATCGAACGTCTCGGCCTACGTCCCTCAAATGGCAGGTCAGTCACCATGGTAACGTTGGTGTTGCATCACAAACTTACAAAGTGTCTTGCAATCTGTCTTATGCTGCAGTGCAGTGCTGCAGTTCCTTTCCCAACATTTGTGTTCTTAACCATTATTAGTGTCAAAATGTTTCATTATGTAGGGTTAATACGAAGGTATTATTCTCCAACCATTGGGCGATGGGTGTTTCGACCTGGCAGCATAATTTCCTGGTGCATCTAGATCAACAAAGTATTGTTTTAATTACCATCAATTAAAAGTTATTTGACAATGTTCTTCTCAAGCTAACAAACAGCAGAACATAGTTAAATCTGTAAAGTTTTGCTGATTTATCCTGATGCATGCTCAATAATCCTGGTAGAAAAGTCTAAAAAAAAGTAAGTCAAGTCCTCTGGATGAATTAAAAAAATAAAAAACTTGTTGAAACTTTTTGTCTTTAATTCAAAAGACGTTGTCAGTCTGAGGATTAAAGACAAAACATTTGAACAAGGTGTTTTTTTAATTTAAATTCGTCCAGAGGATTTGCTGATTTACAAAAAAGTACTTCATGTATATATATTTTTCAATCAGATATTTATACATTTCCTAATAAATTATTTTGTTCCCTGACATAACAACAAGAAAGACAAATATTGTGTGCTCTATTTCACATGTAATAATTGAGTATTGAAAACCCATCAGATTCCTTAAAGTACCCTAAAATAACATGCACTCATGGTGGTAAACAATAAAACCATGATTATTTTCACTGTAACATGGCGCTGCAGCTGGTTCTAGGTTTATGTACTGCAAGCTTGAAGATTTGAATCATGTAAATATTTATGTGTCTAACCTGATAGTTTTCATTTATATTGTTTTTAATCTAACAAACCAGTGAGTGTCCTATCATTTTACACTGATGTAGCCCTATTTACACGGATACGGTGGGAGGAAACATAGTTTTTTTTCATGTGTTAATTAGAGGAAATGATCCATCTGGACACGAACGGATTTTGTGTTTACATGCATCTGGAGGAATCCACCCCAGCCCCCCTGAATCCGCTGTAGTTACCATACCAGGTCATTAGTTGGCGCTGTGAATTTTGTACATTCACCTAATGTGAATACGTGCTGTCGGCCCTCTCCCTGTAAGGACTTTCCTCTGGGCTTAAAAACTCAGCTAACAACAACTTAACAACAAGTTAAAGCTGGATTTTGGATGAGTCGACAGATTTGACGCCAAGTGGGACCGCTTCATCTAACAGCTCCACACCGGTCGCTGAATGGACCAGAACTGAGTTGACGATGATTTCGGACTTTCTACTCCGTGATAACCATTAGCCGATTTACAGCAGGTAAATCAACGTTCTTATTAATGTTTGCTTGTGTTTACTTCAAAACAACAATCAACTGATTTTTATTTTTCCTGCGAGAAGAAGCTGTCCTTCCACCAGGCAGACCAGTTCTGAACTTTTTCATTCAACCTTTATTTAGACAGGTAAATCCCATTGAGCCTCGAGGACTCACTTACAAGAGAGACCTGATTTCAACAAAGAAAGATGACAACAATGGACAACAGCGAAAACAATAAACAGTTATAAAAAGTCATACTCCAGTTTTTTTGTGTGCTTTTTTTTTTAACAAATAGGATGGCTAAAAGAAAAAGGTAACAAAATACAGCTAGATTCTAAGGCAAATGTAGAAAACTAAAAACAGGAACATGTCTGCATTGGACCCTGCCAGGAGTCCAACAGATTCTTAAAGCCACTTAGAGAGGTCAAGGTCGAGAGCTTCAGATCTTTTTGTAAGATATTCCAGGAAACAGGAGCAGAGTAGGAGAAGGCCCTCTTGCCTAGTTCAGTCCTCATTGAGGGAACACTGCAGGTAATAATGTCCTGAGAGCGCACGCTGTAGCTGCACTCACGCAGAGACATGTAGGAGGAGATGTATGAAGGCAACAGACCAAGAAGTGATTTAAAGATGAAAATGTACCAGTGGGAGAGTCTGCGTGAAGTTAATGATGTCCAGTTAACCAGTGAATGAATACTGGGTGCAGTGGTGGGTACGATAATCACAGCCAGTTATGAATCTTAGTGCACCATGATAGACAGCATCCAACATCTGCAGGGTTCTTGTAGGAGCGTTCATGTAAATAATGTCACCATAATCAAGTGAGGGAAGGAAAGTCACAGATACAAGGTGTTTTCTAGCATTCAGGGTTAGACAGGATTTGTTTCTGAAAAAGAAACCCAGTTTAACTTTCAGTTTCTTTACCAAGTTTTCCACATGGAGCTTAAAAGAAAGATGTGAGTCGACCAAGATATCCAAATATTTATAGGAATCAACAAACTCAATCGGGACACTATTTGAGGATAAAATCGGAGGAAGAACTGCTGGGACCAACTTCCTATTTGAAAAAAAGCATCCCTTTGGTTTTGTCGCCTTAGCAACAGTTTTAGCTCGACAATAAACAACTGTGTCGTCAGCATAGAAATGTATGGATGCATTAGGGATGTTTTTACCTACATTATGTATGTAGATTGTAAAGAAGGTGGGTCCTAAGACTGAGCCTTGTGGTACACCATTGTTGACTGTTAAATAACTGGAGGAAGTACCATTATGTTGAACACATTGCCTCCGGTCTGAAAGATAGTTAGAGAACCAACCAATGGTGTGTTCTGAGAAACCAATTTCTGAGAGTTTATGACACAAGATGTTATGATCCACAGTGTCAAAAGCTTTAGACAGGTCTAAGAAAAGTGCAGCACAATAATCCTTAGCATCCAGTGCTTCAACAACGTCAGTAAGAACCTTCAGTGAAGCAGTTGTTGTGCTGTGTTGTTTCCTGAAACCAGATTGATGTGGAGGTAAGATGTTAAATGAGTCCAGGTAATCTTTGATTTGAGAGTTTATCAGTTTTTCTAGAACCTTGGCTAAAATGCAGAGTTTAGAGATTGGTCGATAGTTGTTCAGTGAGGTGGGGTCACCTCCCTTCAGCAAAGGAAGAACAAAGGCTGTTTTCAAGTGTCTGGATGGAGTTTTGTCTTATGGAGAGATTGAAGATGTGGTTCACAGGGACTGTGATGATATGAGCAGCCAGCCTTAAGAAATAAGGTGGAAGTTCATCTGGACCTGCAGATTTTTTAGGGTCAAGATCTTTTAACAGTTTATTGACCTGACTGACTGAGAATGGAGAAAAAGAGAAGCTGTGATTAACTGAGGATTGACTTGTAGGAGGGATTTGATTTGTAGAAGTTTGGTTATTAAGTGAAGTGGCTGATCTTCCATTAGTAACTGTATCAAATAAAGAACCAGAAGCAACAAAATGTTTGTTGAAACAGTTCAGGATCTCGTGCTTATTTGACACAGGAACAGAGTTAACGAGAAGTTGTGATGGGAGGTCAGATGATTGGGGGGTGCCTGAGAGAGATTTGATAGTTTTCCAGAATCTGTTGAGGTCATTTAGATTTTTGGAGGTCTGAGATAAGAAATAGTTGTGTTTTGCTGCTTTGACAGCAGTTGTGCATTTATTCCTCATCTGTCGAAAACTCAACCAATCAGTGTCTGAGTCAGATTTTCTTGCTGTGGCCCAAAGATGATCTCTCCTGTGCAGGAGGTCAGCTAGCTCTGATTGACATATCCCAGTGACGCTGATTGACAGCTGAAGTCATTCTGCTGAAAAAAGTCATTATGAAATAAATAAGCTATCATGGAAAACACAATTAAGAAATAAAATAATTATTTTATTTTATTTTTTTACTTAATAATGTTTTATTTTTTTACTTTATTTTGAACATTTTGGGTGTTCCACAGTCAAACACGTGTGCTTCTGTTAAGGTGGTCTCTGCCCTGGCTTTGCGACTCTCGTATCTCAGCTCTCACTACTCAAGTTGTGCAGTCTCAGCATATCTGTATGGTTTTATGTAGCTGCGTGCCACTCTGCTCAGTCCTGCACTTGTAATGTGTAACGTGTGAAAATGTGTTCTGTTAATGAGAAATCTGTGAACTTGAGCCAAGAGGCTGCCTCTGTCCATGGTGCTGCAGCCACTCTGGTCTTCAACACCAATGACAAAGATGCTGCAGTAAAACAACCAACAGCTCAAACACACACACTGCAGAAGACATTACAAGCTCATTTTGTGCTTATTTGTCATATGCAAGGTTAACACAAGGTTAACAGTACAATGAAATGCTCAGAACGAGAAGAACCGATTTGACTCGCTAAAAAGAAAAATCAAAGAACAAACAAACAAGAAATACTAAAAGCGTGCACAAGGGTACAAAAATAAAGTACCCAGTATCCTAAAGTGAAAAAGTAATTATAACATTTACAATGTCCTAAAGAGAGATGGTAAATAACAACATGGTAGAATAGAATGGTACAAGCAGGATGAATTTAAATAAGTGTTGACTTTGTACACATGATGGAACTAAAGTTTGACCATAACAACTGGAACTGAATAAAAATAAAAATAAAGAGTTCACAGTAGCTTGTAGAGCTTACTGGTGTTTTGGTCAAATGTCTTCATAAAATTAAATTATATACAACCTTAATAAGATATTTATTTTCAATATCTGTCTGTCTCAACAGTAGCTACTAATCCAGTGTAGACTGTTAAATTTATGAATTATATTATGTATACTGGTGTCTATGGTGTATTATTAAATACACCAAGCCTGTGTCTAGGTCTACATTAAGTAAGTTTGTTTAGGCTGCAGGGGTTGCCACAGCGAGTGAACTCGCATGAAAGATGTGGTCATTGTTTTATGCTTGATGCTCATCCTGATGCAACCTGGGCTCACGACGGCGGCCGCAGGTTCATGGTTGCATATAATAACTAACATTCTGTAAATAGCAGCCATCAAAGGTTTATAATAATAATAAGTGATGTGTGTTGTCATCATTGTGTTCCCATACAATGATGAAATTAGTCTGCATTACATCTGGGATACACCGAGTGGAGCAGTGGGCAGCTATATAAGCACCCAGGGAACAAGTAGGGATTGGGTGTCTTGCTCAGAGATGCCACGGCATGTGGGAATGGCTGGGGACCGAGCCTGGGACTTTCAGGTCCTGAGTTAGCTGCCCTGCCTCTACCCCATCTTGGCCCCTCTTATCTCTCAAAGTTCAAGAAAGTTTGATCCATGACTTCAAATATCATTTGGCAGGGCAACAATTTGTTTTAGGCTCAGTTTTTAGTTTGTGCTTCTTACTTGTTCAATTCTTTGTGTATTTATTTATTGGTAATGCAATTATGTGTCACTTTTATGAGTATGAGTACATACACATGGCATGAAACCTGTACTGGTATTAATATTGGTGCATCCCTAATATATACAATATAATATTAAAATGATCATTTATTTAATTTTGTTTTCTCTTTAAAGGCCTCAATTTAAATATTGTGTCTTTTGAAAACTTCTCATCTTTGTTGGTTTGTTCAGAAGCTCAAGCTTTCAGTAATGAAATATTTGTGAGCAGCCAGTGATCATGTAGTGAGGATTTCCACAGCGCTGTGGAGTCCTAAACGAGAGAGAGAGGAGGCGGCATTGGATTATTTTCCTCTCTGATACACCGTGTCACTTTAAACACACACGCTCCTCCAGTCCGGTGTGTGTGTCAGGTGTGTGACCTGTGTAATGTGTCTGCAGTGTGGAGGACATGGTGCAGCAGAGGAAGCAGGACAGCGACTCAGGAGTCGGCAGTGACAGCGGAGAGAAGAGGCTTTCCACCACTGAGGTACTGCACGTCTGTTCTGTTTGACTTTTATGTGTCATTTATTTCTGTCAGCTTCTCCACCAGTGACTGTTAAACCCTGATTAATGCTGTTCTAATTCACTTTGAAGTTTGGTTTCTTTGTCAGATTAGCTTGGATTGCAATGTGTGACAATTCTAGATTGCAAGATTTCTTTAAATATTTTAATGAATGTTATTTTGTGCAGAGAAAAACATAATATATACAGACCCTTTCCAAAAAATTAGAATATCATGGAAAAGTTGTTTAACTTCTATAATTCCATTCAAAAATTTAATCTCTAATAGATGATAGATTCAGGGCCCACAATTTAAACAATTTCAAGTATTTATTTGTTTATTTTTACATAATTTGGTCTTCCAGCTCATGAAACCACAAAACAGGATTTAAAAAAATTCGAATACTGTGAAGAAATCATCCCAAATGTTGCAGGGCATGAATGTTTTAAACTGAGTGTGACACTAATCATCTACTAAACTCAAAGTACCTGCACAGGTTTCCCCAGGTGACATTAAATTGCTTCATTTTGGTTCAATTGTCTCAGTTCAGTTCAATATGGGGAAGAATGCAGACATAACAACTGGCCAGAAGACCATCATTGATGTCCTCATAGGTAAACTACAAAAGTTCATAGCTAAGGAGGCTGGTTGTTCACAGAGCGCTGTGTCCAAGCATATCAATGGAAAGTCTAATGTAAAGGCAAAATGTGGCAGGAGAAGATGCACCAGCAAAAGAGATGACCGTGGGCTTCAGCGATTATCAAACAGAGAAGATTCCAGAATCTGGCAGAGATCCAGAAAGAGTGGAATGAGGCGGAGTCACAGCTTCAAAAACCACCACATTCAGACACATCCAGGAGATGGGCTACAACTGTCAGGTTCCTCGGGTCAAGCCACTTCTGACCATGAGCCAATGTAGGAAGCATCTCAACTGGGCCAAGGAGAAGAAGGGCTGGACCGTTGGCCAGTGGTCTAAGGTCCTCTTTTCTGATGAAAGTAAAGTGTGCCTTTCATTTGGAAATGAAGGTCCAAGGGTTTGGAGGAAGAAGGGTGAGGAACAGAGCCCATACTGCTTGAGGTCCAGTGTGAACTATCCACAGTCACTCATGATTTGGGGTGCAATGTCTGGTCCAGGTGTTGGTAAACTCTGTTTTTTTAAATCCAAGGTCAACACAACAGTCTACCAGAATGTTTTAGAGGACTTCATGATTCCTTCTGCTGAGGATCTGTATGGAGATGCAGAGTTCATCTTCCAGCAGGACCTGGCCCCTGCCCATGTCGCCAGAAGCACAAAACCTGGTTTGATGCCACAGTGCTTGACTGGCCAGTCAACTCACCAGATAAACCCCATTGAGAATCTGTGGAGTATTCTCAAGAGGAAAATGAGGGGCATCAGACCCAAAAACAAAGAAGAGCTGACAGCAAGCATCAAGGAAATCTGGGCTTCCATAACTCCCAGTCAATACCACAAGCTGATTGCCTCAATGCCACGTCACATCGAAGCAGTGATTAAGACAAAGGGATTCACAACCAAATATTGAAGATTGACATATTGTTTTGAAAGTACCATATTTTTTTTGTTTTGTTGTGATCCTAATTTCTTTCTTTTTTTCTGCTAAGACTGAGTAGTGTGGGCTGATGTCTTCACAGTATTCTAAATTTTTTTTTTAAATCCTGTTTTTTGTAGGTTTCATGAGCTGGAAGACCAAATTATATAAAAATAAACAAACAAATACTTGAAATTGTTTAAATTGTGGGCCCTGAATCTATCATCTATTAAAGATTAGAGATGCACCGATCCGATATCAATATCGGTATCGGCACAGATATTGGAAAAACTTCTGGATCGGATACCAGTGACAATGTGACCGATCCATTTTCTGATCCAACCTGCCGATATTTCCGATCCATGATGCATGTTGGCTTCAAACTATGGAATGGATTTCCTGAACGGCAGCGTGTTTCATGAACCCAGAGTAATAAGACCCCCCTCACATTCAGGAAATCCAGTTCATAGTTTGCAGCCAGCTACAACGTGAGGACTGAGTTAGCAGCACTGTGGCTAACAGCTAACAAACTTTTCATCTAAACATGTCCGCTGTGTGGAAGTATTTTACACTAGAAACACCACAAAACAAGACAGCAACGTGCAATGTCTGCAGAGCCATAGCGCCACATTAAACAGCGGTAAAGTTAGTTTTACGTTGGACTTTCGAGCTCCGTGGCTTCAGCGGGGCGCTGCTCTTTGCTCAACCCAAAACAGGCAATTAGACCCTGGCCAGCCGCATCCAATCTGCCCCGCTCAGTCTGCCCGTCTCTGAGGTGGGACAGACTGAGCACAGCTGACTGAAATCAGGCTGCCTGCATTGGATTGAACAAGAAGAAGACATCAATGAAGCCCCGGAGCTCAAATATTTACAGAGAAGTTGTTAAACTTCATAATTAATGACCAACCACTATCAGTTGTAGAAAACTAAAGATTTCTCAGCTTGATACTTGCAGCCAAGATATAGTTTACCCTCCAGGAGATATTTATCATTACAACTGTAGACAATCATAAAAACGTGATTTGAAAATTACAAGAAAATTATATATATATATATATATATATATATATATATATATATATATAAACAAAAACAGCTACATTATAAAGTGATGTAAAATACTAAAAACAGGAACATGCCTGTTGGTTCATGTCATGAACTTAGCAGATGTTTGAAGCCATTTAACATTTTATTTTATTTATTTAATTTATTCATTCATTTAAAAGAAACAAAACAAATTTATCAAAAAGAAAACATTGAATGAAACGAGTGCAGAAAGAAGAAAAATCTTATATCTGCCCCTTATTTAAAAAATATAAAATAACTTTAAACAATCACTTAAATTAATCACTTTAATTTCCACTTTAAAGCTAGGAATAAAAAGAAACATGTTTTGTGTTAGCAGAATTTAATTCTAACTTGAAAATTTATCCAACATTAATAAAACTTACCTCGAGTTGCCTTTTTGGACACACATGCATATATTTGTACAAATTGTACTTGAGAGGAGATTATTACAGCCTCATATAAAATCAATGATGATCATGATATCGGAACTGGATCGGTATCGGACGATATTTAGATTTAGGTATCGGGATCGGATCGGAAGTAAAAAAATGTGGATCGTGCATCCCTATTAAAGATGAACTTTTTGAATGGAATTCTGGAAGTTAAACAACTTTTCCATGATATTCTAATTTTTTGGAAAGGGTCTGTATATTTAGTATTAATTGGCCTTTTATAAAACGTTGGTGAAAAACTGCCACAGTTCAATTGTAATCAATATTTCTGCTGAACATGTTAAAGTCATATTTTAGTTTTAGCCATGGATTCTGGACCAGGGATTTATACAAGTGCTTCTCTAAATTTTTAGCCACACTTGGAAAAAGCTGACTAATATTTAGAGCTTTGTCACGGGCTTAGAAAAGAGTTGCTCTCAATCCTCCTGCTCAGTCAGAAAAGCGTCCCGGTCGCTCCAACATCAAATACTCTGACTGCAGACAGATATCGTTATGAGCCGAGATCATCGTCTGTTTTATGCAGTTCAGATAACTCCTACAGTGAATTACGCATCAGGTTGTCCACAAAAGTGCAGGAACTTTTGCACAGAGTAAGACTTTAATTATATTTTTGTGTTTTTGAATAAAATTGTCCATGACTTTGAACTTTTAGGGGCGGAGATTTTTTTAAGAGCAGAAGCAGAAATACGAAGCAACAGCTTTGATGTGATGTTGGGAAGCTTTGTTTATAATTATAGTTTTATTTAGTTATAGTTTTACTGTCACTCTTTGTCAGGCGGGTTGACAAATATGCAGTGTAATCCTTCAAATGCGCAGATACGGCCGCACGCATACACCTGTCTGCTACAAACCACGCAACTGAATTACTCCACCCACATGGGCACTGTAGAACTGATCTACTCATGCGCCTAACAGATACTGAAACTTGTGTATGTTGACCTGCGTCAAGAGTGAGTCATTGACAGATGTGGAGGAGAGAATCTGGTGATTTTTCAAAATAAACTTTTCTTTTCCTTCTGTGCAGCCCGGTACCAATTGACCCACGGACCGGTATCTAGGGTACCCGGGGGAGCAGATGGTGGGAGTTAAGAGCCTTGCTCAAGGGCCCAGAGTGAGACAATTGAGGGTCGAGGCAGATGTGGGTGCTTCACCTTTTCCACCCACATTTTGATTTTGTCAGTCCAGGGAGTTAAACTGGCAACCTTCTGATCAAAGGCCCACCTTCTCTAACATCTGCGCCACCACTCCCACCATGTTATAGTCTTGTAATTTAATTTCCCATAATAAGTAGTGATTAAATTCTCTCTTTAAATGTGTTCAATGTGATCGCAGCCGTCAGATGAAGACAGCTTGAGTCTCAACGCTCCGATGAGCAACATCACGGAGGAGGAGGGAATCAGCAAAGAGGACTCCAGTGAACATATCAGCTCCCTGACAGGTACACACTGATGTTCTGGAGCAGTGGAACTGGGTTATTCAGCCAGCAGCTCCCTGGAAACACAGTTTAAATAGACTTTAATCAGTTAATGAGGATTCAGGGTCACATTTGTTGAGTTCGACATGAGTAAAAGAGGGCTCTCTGGATACTTGTCATTTTTTGACAGTTTGTTAATAATACATGCTGGACTTCACCAACATCTGTGTTAAGATTTACTTACAAATGTAGTGTTTTCATGTGTTCCTTTGTCTTGTATTGTGTGTTTGGAACATTGTCTGCTGCACAGGCATGGAGTCCTGGCTGTTACTGACTCCTTAGCATGGATTAGTTTTTGTATCTCATGGTAAATATGAGAGTAATGCTTACCTTACATCAGATAAAATGCTGGATAAAATGCCTATACTCTTATAAATCTGTGTTTACACTCACTAATTAAATGTGTTGGAGTTGGAGTAAAAAAAACAAAAAACTAGTGTTTTTTATTAAATAAAAGTAATTTTGCTGAAAGGCCACATGACTGCAATGCAATGATTACATCCAGTATTAAACCACAGCTGATGTAACTGGCCCCCAAGATCCATAAGATCATCACGAGTCTGAGTTGATGTTTAAACTCATCCTACACATTTGATTAGATGAATATTGGAGAACCTGCTGTCCGTCCACAGGCGGACGTCAACATTGTGCAGGTGGTCCAAAGTCATATATGAATGGACAGTTGTGGTCTTGTTGATAAACTGGAGTAGGATGCTGTCTCTGAAAGGTTATATATGCAGACAAAGGTTGTCACTGATGGTGTGCTGTGCTGTGAGGGTACCTGATCCACTACCAGATCTGAAGTCAGACTCCATGATTCCATGATCCATCATGATCAATCATGAGCCATCATGATTCCATAATGCTAGACGGAATGGAAATGTTTCTCTCTACACTATTAGCAGGATTGGACCTCTTAACTGTGTGTCACTATACTTGCCCATTATGGTCTGTGGTAATGTGAAACGCAGATTATTCACTGAAATTGATACAGCACCACTATCAGTTCATACTTCCCATTAACCACACCACTTAAAACTCAGTCATTTTTGTGCTGAGGTTAATGGCCACCAGTGTTTAGGATAATGAACTTGGATAAGATTAGGAATGAGATCATCAGAGGTACAGCAGAGGTTGAACAACTGGGAGATAAAGTTAGAGAGACCAGACTGAGATGGTTTGGACATGTCCAGAGGAGAGACAGTGGGTATATTGGCACAAGGATGTTAGAAATGCAGCTGCTAGGAAAAAGACAAAGAGGAGATATATGCATGCATTTAGAGAGGACATGGAGGTAGTTGGAGTGAGGACAGAAGATGCAGAGGACAGAGTGAGATGGAGGAGGATGACTGGCTGTGGAGACCCTGAAGAGGGAACAGCTGAAAGGTGATGCCAGTCGCCAGGATTACGATGAAACATAGCATGGTTAAAAATGGAATACCTATACCCGGATGGTAGCACAGATGCCCTGGGGTTGTGTAATGTTTATGTACAAAACAACAATCCTTTCTTGGTTTGTTGTGTCTTGGGCACCCATTGATTTCACCACTGCACAATACAAACATCTAGCCTGGTGTAAACTAACATGTGGGTCCGGTCAAATGGCATTAAACGCTAACAATGCTTTCTAATGTGGCTTGCAAGGCATCTTTTGTTCTGTTGACCTTGAGTGACTGTTTTGCCTATCAGATGCTCCAGCAACTGCCTGATAACACCAACACTACCCTTGGTGCCTGTTCTAGACGGACCAGCACCTTACAAACTAAAGCCTTCACTGGTCTGCATATGGACAACATAATGTCCATATCAAATTGATCCTTCTTTGTGCTTGATTCTTTTATTGACAATGAGTGTATTATTTAGTTCATACTATTAACAGTAACTTTGATCAGTTTACTAATAAGGTTAGGATGAATGTTCAAAATTTTGAGAGAATCAACTCTTCAGCTGTCATTTTGTTGATTGATTGTTCAGTCAAAGTTGTTTAAAGTTGTCAGGAAAAAGAATTGTTGAAGTTATTGCGCTAACTGAACTGAATTAGTAAGATCCTATTAGAGTAAAGCGTGCCATGTTTCCTATAGCTGAGGGCAAGTTTACAGAGGGAATCAAAGGAATGAAGCCTGATATCTATAAAGAACCTTAAATCCTTGAATCTCTCAGTGAAGGAGAAGTGGGTTTTTTTTGTATCTGAGGAATTATCAGTTGTCTGAAGACAAACAAAGAGCTTTGGGCACTTTGACACTTCCAGAAGGGTGATGGACACTAATAAGAGCCCTTCAGAGATGTTTTTAAAGACAGTAAACAGCATTTTGTATATTTATGGCTCATCATTGGAACTGCATTTAAATACAGTTCATATTAACTTTTAATTTAGATCATGAGGTGTTAAGATTTTTATATTTAGTGTAAATTTCTTCCTGAAAATGAAAATGCTGCTCTCAATAAAATGATTCAACACATTGGTCAACATTTGACACATCTTGTTTTCTTCATTTCAGTCGACACAAACTGCGACTTGGTGCGTCTGATTGAGGAGAGCCCTACGGAAGCCCTAAAGGAGTACAACTACAGAGACTCAGCTCTCAGCACTCGCTTCATCAACTACATCAAGGCGAGAGCGTCTTTCTCCAAACGGTTCATTTCATGACAGCTGTCACTCTCGGATGAAACCTCTATAAAACTGTTGTGTTCACTGGACTGCCATTAGTTTAACTGCTTATCTTTTTTAGGGAAGGGAAGTCTGAGATTGTCATCATTGTATGTTCCCATACAATGGCGAAATTAGTTCTCTGCATTTAACCCATTGCACATGAGATACACCCAGGTGGAGCAGTGGGCAGCTATGTAAGCACCCGGGGAGCGATTGGGGATTAGGTGTCTTGCTCAGAGACAACACCACATGTGGGATTGGCTGGGAGTTGAACTGCAACTTTCTGGTCCCAAGTTGGCTCCCCTACCTCTAACCCCCACCCATGTTTACATAAGTCAAAGTTTGTTTGACTGCAACCTCAACTGTCACTTCTTGCTGCAGTTAATGTGACACTAACAATTCAGATCAAGGAAACTGTGGCTCAGGAGCTACAAATCAGTGTCAGTCAGTAGCTTTTCAAATAAGAGTGTGACTGAAGCTCATATTTGTGTTCAGGTGTGTTAGAGAAGAAACATGGACAGAGTATAGATTAAACTGGATTCAAAGTTTACAACAAGTAAAGAATTCTGCACTCGCTGACGTAGTTTCTGTGTGGACATTGTAGACTTCATGAAAACCTGCAGTGAAGAACTCCTTGGAAGCTCTTTGCCCTTTTGCACGGTGCCGGAACAATTTTCGTTTCTCCTGGGTCAGCACTCTTCCATCCCTGGACAGATTTTTGCTTCCCCTACTGCTACCAGACGTTGTTTTCCTGGGGGATCAGTAAAGTTCTATCTTATCTTATTCTACAAAGTGGGACAGTAAACACTGTTTGGCACCATCAGTTTCTGACAGACAGTGCACTGTAACGAGCTAACGTTCAGAACCAGTCCCTACGCTACACAGCCAGCGTGCACTAACCCTAACCCAGCACAGCCCTGGAGAGCCACCTGTGTCTCTGTGCACAATAACTGCGCTGTCTCCTTACCCATTTGATGATCGTTGTAAGTTTTGCTGGAACAGTTGTAGAAATTGCTGTATTTTCTAACGGCCTGGGCCAGCTGCTCCTCAGCAGAATGACACCATTGCAATTTGCCTTACTGTTTAAACTTGCCCACAGCAAAGGTCTGACCAGTCACACAAAGTTTAGGTATGCCACTAAGAGAAAACGTTTTTCCTGACCCTTGCGTTGAAAACGGGCCCTCAGTGCTCCCAGAAAAACTAAATTATTTAATTTTCATCACTCAACTACATCAGCAAGAGCAGACTTCTTCACTTTTTGCAGGGTATGAATCCAGCTTAAAAGGTGTGCACCACATGTGCACAAGAATGAGTGAGTATAACCACTTCTTTGAAGTGCCTTTTGTTTTTGTCTTTCGGCTGCTTTCTTCTTCAGGGGTCGTACAGAGAATTATCTCACACGAAGACCTGGCGATTGTTTTTACACACTGGATGCCATTCCTGTCACAACCACAGACCACCGAACGACCACACCCTTCTGTGTGGAACAGAGAGCTGCCATTTAGGGTGCCCAGGGGAGCAGATGTGGGGGTTAAGGGCCTTGCTCAAGGGTCCAGGGTGGGAAAAATGAGGGTGGATGCAGGTGTCTGTGTTTCACCTATCCCACCCACATTTTGATGTTGTCAGTACCAGGAGTTGAGCCCGCAACCTTCCAATCACGAGCCCACCTTCTCTAGCCTCTGCGCCACCACTCCGCACCCACTGCTTTGAATGGTCATAAAAACGTAAAGATAGTTTATCGTTTTGCACGTTAAGCTTCACAGCTTCATTGTTCTTTATGAAACGTAACGAGGTGTTTTTCAGAGGGTGTGAACTTGATGTTAAACAGCCCTCCTATTAATGGACTGAACAAACAGTTATATTTCTGTATTCAGCATTCTTTAACAAACAGATTAAAATGAGATGATAGAATGATCAGATGTAAGAGAGAGAATGATCAGATGTAAGACAGTGTCATCATTGTATGGAGGAGATGGTGGAAATGTCTCTGAATTTGGTCCAATGGAGATGGAGGCTGCAGGTCATGTGACGACTGCAGCTGGTGCTGATGTGTTTGTTTGTGTGTGCAGGGTCGGACAGCAGCAGACTTCGAAGAACCTCTTAGGATAGAAGAAGATACACACTGGCAAATGGAACAAACGTATGTTCATCGTTTCTCTAAGAATATGTTCAAAAGCCTTTAAATGCCTTTAAAATATGCTTAATGTATTAAGTTGTGATAATATTAGAAGGGGGCTTTTTTATGTCATTTAAAAAATGAATTGGCTGTTTGTTAATGTTTGTGATCGTAGGTCAAAGGTCCCAGGGGGCACAGAGCTTCACATTGGCATGATCCACCAGCTGAAAGAAGCTGTAGAGCTGCTACAGGACCCTAGCAGGTGATTACAGGTGTTACACCAGACCAGTGGTCTGCCTGTTTATATACTTTCTAAGAACAACTTTGATTTTTTTAATCCATTTGTTTAAACTAGTGTTTGACAGACTAAAACTGAAATTGCTCCAGAGCATTGATTGATTGCTGTTGGTTTGAAATGAGTCAAGAAAGTTCCATCCATTATCTTTACCCGCTTCTTCCTTTGTGGGTCGTGGGGGTCGCCATAGAGTTGCATTCGGGCCCAAAAAATCCGCCCCGGCCCCAGCCTGTAGCCACCATTTCTGAACCCCACCCGACCCAATGAATTAACAATAATTACAGGTCCGAACACCCCCCTCCCCCCCAATTTTTTTTAAACTAAGCTTTGACTGCTTATATAGTTATTAACGGTCGGTGGATGCGCGGCTGAATAAAGGGGGCAGAAGATTGGAGCTGAGAGGATGTTTGTCCTTTCATGGCCGTCAAAACACATTAAATCCCTTTCTGACATGTCTGCTTTTGGATCTCACCTGTTCAGGTCATCGGCCGTGCGCGTACACTGAGTGCAGCGGCTGAATGAACGTCCATTTGGGGGATGGGTCGCTTCCTGGCAGTATAGTCCAATCTGAAGCTTAACTGAACTTTATTTTGCCTCTTTTAAGGCCGGTCAGCTCGCTGTGAAATGGCCGTGGTTGGTGTAGTATGGCAAGCCATATTGCCAAATAACTGGATAGTATGGCAAGCTATGATACCATATAATTGGATCATGGCCAAAAGCCCAACACCAACCCAGCCCGCCCATCCAGCACATTATCATGGCCCAGCCCACCCCACGCCGAATTAGGCTTGGGCCGTGTTTCGGGCCCAGGTTAGAAATGACAGCTCTAGGTCGCCAATGCCCATGTCCAGCAATCACTGTGCGAGAGGCAGGGGACATCCTGGACAGGTCTCCAGTCCATCACAGGGATACATAGAGACAAATGAGACAAACAACCATTCACTCTCTCACTCACACTTAGGGACAATTTAAAGTTACCATTCAGCCTAACATGCATGTTTTTGGTCTGTGGGAGGAAACCGGAGTACCCGGAGAAAACCCACGCATGCACGGAGAGAACATGCAAACTCCACCCAGAAAGGCCCCTGGACCGGGATTTGAATTGTGGCAACCTGCTCGCTGAGAGGCAGCAGCTCTACCAACTGGGCCACCATGCTGCCCATTCAAGAAAGTTGCTTTTTATAAAGCAGAATACTCCCTTAGCTCAACAAAGTCTGCAACAAAATGTTCATTTGGAAAGTAATTGTTGTTTTCTTTCTCATCTTGTGTTCCAGGGTGAACGCAGAGCAGGAAGATGTGTCTGGAGTCCAGCTGTACCCGGTGGAGATGGTCACAGTGGAGGAGTCCTTTAAGTATGACTACATGTGTAACATGGGTCTGTGCTTGTAAACTCAGTTTACTCTGTCAGCAGAAATAAAAGGACCCTTAGGATCAGCAAACAGCCATCAGGGTGCCAATGATCCATTGTTAGGCTGATGGTCCTCCTTGATCATGTGAGCAGCTGGTTTTGGCTGTCGGCAGCAAACTTGGTTGATCCACTACGAGAAGGTGCTATTTATAAGACTGAGATGAATACAGCATCTCAGACTGAAGAAGTCTTTTGAATGAAAGAAGAAACATTTCTACATTTTTATTTATTGTTTTGTTTTTTGAATGTCCAGAGGACCAGACTCAACTTTTTTAGAAGGACCCTTAGGACAGTTATAAACAAATCATAGCTGACGATAAAGAAAACGAGCTTTTCTTCAAATTTTAAGGTTTGGATAAAAATATTTAGGTTTAATTCTAATTTTCCTTTCTTTCTCCTTTCATTTTCCATCAGTGGACAAGACAGTGATGACAGCGCCACGACACCGAAGGTACTGAGTTCATTTAACTTTTCTCATTTAGTCTCAGAGCTGTTGCAACTAATTATTAACAATCTGTATTAGTAGCCGGCACTGATCATACATAACGGACTTCAGTTATACTGAATGATGCTTCTTATAAATGAAGTTCTATCTTTTAGAAGTTTATTGGGTTACAGCAGGGGAACCTTTATTCTCAGGTCCATTCATAAGCTTCAGAACTCTGTAATCTGAGCCGCAGTGCAATGTCAAACCCATGAATAAACACTTGTACGAAAGAGAGATTCTGACAACCAAAGGCATTTATGTGATAGTTTTGAGAGTAATGTAAAAATCCAAGCCAGGATCAGAGTCACTGAACTCAACAAGATTGTCATAAATTGAGTTGCATGTGTCATTCAAAGGGAGAAGCACACGCTGTGTTTAGTTTGTGGCAAGGTGCTGGCATTGATTCAGCAAAATAAACTGAAGGACCTGAAAGGATACATTCAGACCGATAACATCAGAGTGACAAAGACAACATTAAAGAGCGTGAATTAAAGACAACATTAAAGAGAGTGAATTAAAGACAATATTACAGAGAGTAAATTAAAAACTGTCGTTTGTGCTTATGCACCAAACGGTAGCTTAGATTTTCCACCCTTTTTAGAGTCCTTGGAAGGGGTACTGGAAAGTTCACTTCCTGGGGACTCCCTTGTTCTGCTGGGGGACTGCAATGCTCACGTGGGCAATGACAGTGAGACCTGGAGGGGTGTGGTTGGGAGGAACTGCCCCCCTGATCTGAACCCGAGTGGTGTTCTGTTGTTGGACTTCTGTGCTTGTCATGGATTGTCCAAAACAAACACCATGTTTAAGCATAAGGATGTCCATATGTGCTCTTGGCACCAGGACACCCTAGGCTGCAGTTCGATGATTGACTTTGTCGTTGTCTCATCTGATCTGCGGCCACGTCTTGGACACTCGGGTGAAGAGAGGGGCGGAGCTGTCCACTGATCACTACCTAGTGGTGAGTTGGCTCCGATTGTGGGGGAGGATGCCGGTCAGATCTGGCAGGCCCAAACGTATTGTGAGGGTTTGCTGGGAACATCCGTCAGAGTCTCCTGTGAGATGAAGCTTTAACTCCCACCTCTGGGAGAACTTCGAACATGTTCCGGGGGAGGTAGGGAACATTGAGTCCGAGTGGGCCATGTTTCATGCCTCTCTTGTTGAGGCGGCATACCGGAGCTGCGGCCGCAAGATTGTCGTGCCTGTCTTGGCGGCAACCATCGAACACGGTGGTGGACACTGGCAGTGAGGGCTGCTGTCAGGCTGAAGAAGGAGTCCCATCGGGCCTTTTTGGCCTGTGGGACCCCGGAAGCAGCTGATGGGTATCGACAGTCCAAGTGACATGCGTCTCTGGTGGTCGCTGAGGCAAAAACTTGGGCATGGGAGGAGTTCGGAGAGGCCATGGAGAATGACTTCCACACGTCTTTGAGGCGATTCTGGTCCACCATCCGGCGTCTCAGGAAGGGAAAGCGGTACACCACCAATACTGTTTATAGTGGGGGTAGTGTGCTGCTGACCTCAACTCGGGATGTCGTGGGTCGGTGGGCAGAATACTTTGAAGACCTCCTCAATCCCACCAGGGCTGTGCTGGGTGGGATCCCACCCCAGGCTCTGCTTCCACTGAGGAAGCAGAGCCTGGGGACTCTGGGTCGGGCCCTCCAATCTCTGGTGCTGAGGTCACCGAGGTGGTTAAAAAGCTCCTCGGTGGCAGGGCCCCAGGGGTGGATGAGATTCGCCCGGAGTTCCTTAAGGCTCTGGATGTTGTAGGGTTGTGTTGGCTTACGCAACTCTGCAATATTGCGTGGACATCGGGGGAAGTTCCCCTGGATTGGCAGACAGGGGTGGTGGTCCCCCTATTCAAAAAGCGGGACCGTAGAGTGTGTTCCGACTACAGGGGGATCACACTCTTAAGCCTCCCTGGTAAGGTCTATTCGGGGGTTCTGGAGAGGAGGGTCCATCGGATAGTCGAACCTCGGATTCAGGAGGAGCAGTGCGGTTTTCTCCTGATCATGGAACACTGGACCAGCTCTACACTCTCAGCAGTGTCCTGGAGGGTGCATGGGAGTTTGCCCAACTGGTCTACATGTGCTTTGTGGACTTGGAGAAGGCGTTCGACCGCGTCCCTCGGGGAACCCTGTGGAGGGTACTCTGGGAGTATGGGGTACCAGGCCCTTTGATAGGGGCTGTTAGGTCCCTGTATGACCGGTGTCAGAGCCTGGTCCGCATTGCCGGCAGTATGTCGGGCTTGTTCCCAGTGAGAGTTGGACTCCGCCAAGGTTGCCCTTTGTCACCTATTCTGTTCATAACTTTTATGGACAGAATTTCTAGGCGCAGCCAAGGTGTTGAGGGGATCTGTTTTGGTGACTTTAGGGTCGCGTCTCTGCTTTTTGCAGATGATGTGGTCCTATTAGCTTCATCAGATCGTGATCTACAGCTTTCGCTGGAGCGGTTCGCAGCTGAGTGCGACGCGGCCGGGATAAGGATCAGTTCCTCCAAATCCGAGGCCATGGTCTTGAGCCAGAAAAGAGTAGAGTGCCCTTTCCGGGTCAGGGACGAGGTCCTGCCCCAAGTGGAGGAGTTCAAGTATCTTGGGGTCTTGTTCACGAATGAGGGAAAAATGGAGCATGAGATCAATAGGCGGATAGGTGCAGCGTCTGTAGTGAAGCGGGCGCTGTACAGGTCTGTCATGGTGAAGAGAGAGCTGAGTCAAAAGGTGAAGCTCTCAATTTACCGATCGATCTACGTTCCTACCCTCATCTATGGTCACGAGCTATGGGTTGTGACCGAAAGAACGAGATCTCGGATACAAGCGGCCGAAATGAGTTTTCTCCGCAGGGTGTCTGGACCCTCCCTTAGAGATAGGGTGAGAAGCTCGATCATCCGGGAGGGAGTAGAGCCGCTGCTTCTCCACGTTGAGAGGAGCCAGTTGAGGTGGCTCGGGCATCTGGTTAGGATGCCTCCTGGACGCCTCCCTGGTGAGATGTTCCGGACACGTCCCACCGAAAGGAGACCCAGAGGAAGACCCACGACACGCTGGAGGGACTATGTTTCTCAGCTGGCCTGGGAACGTCTCGGGATTCCCCCGGAGGAGCTGGCCCAAGTGGCTGGGGAGAGGGAAGTCTGGGCCTCCCTACTTAAACTGCTACCCCCTCGACCCGACCCCGGATAAGTGGAAGAATATGGATGGATGGATGGATGGATGGATGGATGGATGGATGGATGGATAAATTAAAAACATTACAGAGAGTGAATTAAAACAACATTACAGTGAATTAAAGACAGCATTATAGAGCATGAATTAAAACATTACAGAGAATGAAATAAAAAGTTTACAGAGTGAA